TGCGCCGCCATCCCCGGGAACCCCGCCTCCCGCTGCCGCCCACCCAGCCCGGAACCCCGCCCTCCTCACCCTCAGCCCCGGAACCCCAGCCCTCCTCGCCCCTTGCCACACCCTCACGGCTCCCGGCGTGGGTTCCCGCGGTACCCCCAGTGCTCCGGACTCCCCTTGGCCAGCTCAGGAGGTGGCTGTCGCGTCCCCGAGTCCGCGCCCTGCGGTTTGACAGGATCGCTGGTGGTGACCGCCATGGTGCCACGTGGCCACTTGTTTGACAAAGGAAGCGGGCAGCTGGGACCTAGCCGGGCAGCTGGGACCTATTTGTTTGACAAAGGAAGCGGGCAGCTGGGCCCTAGCCGCCCGCCTGTTCCTCTCCTGTCCTTGTCCTTGATCAGCCAGCTTCTTTGCTGTCTGAGCTGTGTGAGGAAACTGGGCCAGGGTCCTGGGGCCGGGAGCGGACAGAGGAGGAGTGGGCCGGGGTCAGCCAGGAGGCCAAAGGGCCGACCTGGGGGACTGGACTTGCGTCAGGGTGTTCGAGGAAAATTAGTCCCCTCTGCTCCTACTAAATGCAGTGCCAGGCTCCAAACCCAACCCAGCAGAAGGCGCCCTGCACTCCTGTAGAGCCTTTCGCCGCCACACGTGAAGAGGTTGTTCCCAAGCCTTCGCGTGGCCTTTGCTTTCCCCCACTCCACAAATGAAGTGACAAGATTTCTTTTGGAATCTCAGAAATCGCCAGAACTCTCAGCATCCGGAGGTTTGCAGACAAACGAGTGGCCGCAAGTTCTCACAGGCAGAGAGGGACATTCCAACAGCGAGGGCCAGGCTGTACGACCCCGGACCACAGAGCCCTTATCGGCTTTGCCATCTGGCTGATTTGAACGAGACAGACGACAGATGAGAATTCAGTGTCCGCTCTTAAGACAAGAAACTGCATTTCAGCCTGACTTTGCCTCTGTCTTTGCCCCCCAACTAACACTTGGATAATCCTGAACACGATCGTGTAAATAATTTTCAAAGTTCTGTTTTCAATGTGAAATGGCCTTATCACCTTCCAGCCCAGGAATCCTAAGAAAATATTTTTGGAATGTCATGAATGTGACAAGCTCTACAATAAAAGATACTGCTATCAACAGTGTTATCAGTGTGACATATTGAAGCAGTAAGGAAAGCCACCAGATAAGACGGCCTGCATCGCATGGTATGCGAAGGACCGTGTATGAGGGTTGAGAAGAATTTTTGGTATCGGTCTTTACGTAAGTTGCTACGTATGCCCCGTGCACTAACCTGAATCCCACTGATTTCTACCCTTAATCCTTGTTTAGTAACGTGAGTGATGTTTAAATATGCATTCTCGAAATTTAATTAACATCTTCCAGCTTACTTCGAAATTCACGGAGGAGAGGTTTTGTTCCACTGGAAACTTGGTCCCACGTGGTGTTTGAAGCGGTCGCAAAAAACGAACGTTGCTTTCAAAAAAGCACAACCCAATGAAGTGTTTCAGATCGTGATGTATGGCCAGAGAAGTCATAACATAAATATGGTAGGAGATCATTCAGGGACGTCGGCCAAAGTATGCGAAGTCCGTGATCGGGGTGACAGGGGCCACAGAGAAAACTGCTTCCAGCTTCTCAGAAGAATCTCAGGGAAGTTAATGGCTCTGACAGCTGGCTTGGCTGAAATTGGGCGGGGGGCGGGGGGCAGGGAATGAGTAAATATATTCATGCACTCCAGCAGAAAAATAAAAATAGACAAATTCCAAATATGTGATGAGGTAAATACTGGGATGACTCTAGTGCTAAGTTTTGTAAAAAGTCATGTAAACAGAGCCACCTTAAAACGGAGTCGGCGCTGCCATCTCAGAGGAAGGACAACCTCCCCCTCGACGCCTTGAAATGTGAAAACTGGACAAAATCACCTTCGGTCCGGGCCTGAGGCAGCACTGTACCCCAGCAAAGGTGACAAGAAGAAAGCAGGTGTGGCCACCGGACTGCAATGAAAACGTTCTTTAGGATTCGTATCACCGTGTCAGCTTCTCTGCACCCACGGAAACATCCTCCGCAGTGGATGTCATCGTCCCCCTGCCCTCTGTCACGGGCAGCCCCTGGCTTCGCCTCCTAACTGGAACACTGTTTGGGTCTCCACCTGAATCAGTGCTTCCCGAAGAGACATTCTTTGGGGTCTCAGAGATGTGCTTGTTCCCTAGCTCTGGCCTTAGGTTTAGGTTCAGAGCATCTTCTTAGGCCTGGAGGAGGATGGAGGCCGCCAGACC